CGATGGGGTGCGCGAAAGATGCGCGAAAGGAACTTTGGATTTCCGCGAAGAGGTCATTTTGTTATGAAGTAATATTGGGCAACGCCCATATGTTTTGTCAGAGCATCTCGTGCAGGGTCCTGCGATGCCCCTCTGCGCAGAGCAGGGTTCCGCTTTTATCCTCATGCACCCTCATTGTCAACTAGAGGCGAGGGGCGGACAGCATGATCCGTAATGTTTATACTTGGACGCGGATGCGGCAGGTACGGGCACAGCATCGCACTGTGCACTTCTTGCGACTTTTGCTGTGGTATGGATGTGAGTCTTGCCGGCACTAGCCTTGTCCGCAGCAGTTGAATTCCCGTGTAGACAGCACAGTTAGTGTCAGAACAGGAGCTCAATCACTGCTACGCTATGCTATGCTTTCGGGCTTCGATTTTCTTTGACTCATGTGCGGTTCGAGAATCCATTCTACCTGACACCTGGTAGTTTGCCTTTTCGCCAACGATAGTTGTGTGGCTGGCATCGTAGCATATCCATGTTTGAGGAGGAGTACCAAAGCTTGATCGGACAGGAGCCCAGAGTTTGCTCTCTGCCCTGCTGGTTGGATACCTGCGCTTTCCGCTTCAGAGGTGCATGCTCTGATGTTCGTTGCCGCCCTATCCCAGGCAGTGGAGTGTGTCTGCCAATCTATAGCAAGTTGCCTCCAGTCAAGTTCCATGCCCATGATGGCCATGCACAGTGAACTGACATGCTTATGAAAAGACGCGTCCACAGTGACTTGATACTCCTCGCCCAGTCCGCCTACCACCCCTATCACCACCATCACGAGCTCCACCACCATCAGCCTTGCGATGTCCCCAGCTACCTACATTTCCCAGGAAATTCTCATTGCTTGCCAGAGCAGAGGTTAGTCCCGCCTCCAACAGTGGAGGCTGCCCGGATGCGTCCACACATCGACTCTGGAGGCCTTGCGATGCAGGCTCCTGCTCTTGCTATTCTTTTTGCGAGCTTTTCCAGTGCTGAGAGTAGCGAAAAAACATGTCTGGACTCGGAGCTTGAGTAGCATCTTCCTCAGGTAGCAAGCTCTTCGGATCTGGGAAATGGAGGACTAGCAGCTCCGCTCAGACCAGCTCTTCACCCTCCATTTTCTCGGAGATCTCGTTGACGGGAATGAGCTGGCAAGAACAGCTCAAAACAATGCGATCGGAAAGTGTACATTCCTTCCAGTTGTTGTACGATTGTTTTTGTGCGGGTAGCATGCGCAGTCGCCGTCGCCATCCCGTTGGCTCATTAAAGTGCCACCATTTGCCTTTCTACCGATGCTGTCAGCGTGGGAGACAGGCGCCTTTGCTAGAGATGCGAAATCTGAGCGCCTTGAGCTCTCAACCCTGAAGGCAGGTGGCCATGCAGGAAGGCGATGAGATTTTTGAGGCCAGCCTGAGAAGCTTGCAGGAGTACGTGTCAGCCAGACTGAACAGGCCGCCATGGCTGCCGTAAAACGGCATTTCGATGCAGAGGAGCTCGGACCTGAGTGCGGGAGCGGATATCAGGGTCTCATTATTCTCCATCAAACGTAGTCCGTCCCCGAGGCCACTGGTTTGAGTCGTGAGACAAGACGTAACATTCTCCTGGCAGGTTTGAACCGGCCGTGAAGCTGATAACAAAGGCCTTTGACACAGAATGCTGTGCTATGCGGCCATGCTTCAGCGCTTGTGGACGAACGGCCATTCCTTTGAGGCCTATGAGATGAGGCCGACGGATCCTGTGGTGGTCAGGACGAAGCTTTTGTTTTGATTCGTACAGCGCGCTCTGTAAATGCTCAAACTGCCTGTTTCCGTACCAGCACATGACAACAAGCTCGCGAAGTCCCGTATTGCCTCTCTTCAAATGATCTGGCAGAACAGCCTTGCTAGCGCAGGCGACTTAAGACTTAAGAATTCCATTTGCCTGAAGATGTTGCGTGGTTCGACCCAAATAATGAGAACAAGTGTGATCAACAGACTTTGCTCGCATTAACATACCGCAGCATTGGTGTTGAATTGCAGCACCGCATATGGCTTGGAGCTCACCTGGACTTCAACTGAGTATGTCTTGATGCCGGCCAAGACTGTGAAGTTTGAGGAGTTCCAAGATGTAATGCTTCCCGCTTCCTGTTTGTGTTTGCACTATTGTCCTTGGCTGGAAAGATGTATTTGCTCACCGCAGATGTCTGCAGCCAACCTGGCATCGCAGCAAGCATCTGCAGCTCGATTTCAGCCTGATTCAGTCCAAAAGCACAAGGTTGCAAAAGCAGTTCGGAGAATGCTTTCTCGTGCGTCAGCCCATCCAACAGCCCGCAGGGCAGATTGTGAAAGTCAGCAAGACTTGCTGGATCGGTCAAGAAGATGGGGTGAGCTCGGGGCACTTCAAGCCAGGGTGCGAACTGCCAGTCTTCATTTGGGTGCAACCGATCCACTTGTGAAGCACAGCCATAAAGTTGTATCCAGGGCATCGTCAGTTCGGCAGTACTGCATGAATGCATACATTCAGCTATCAATGCACCGGTTGCCGCAGGTCATGGATGAGATCATGGGACACATGTTTGAGCTGCACCAGCTGCTGTTAGGTCTTGGTCTGTGGGACGATCCCTTCCTGTCCTGGGCTCGTGAGGCAGAGGCTGTCTGGCGCATCGAGCAGCCCCGTCTCAGACATTTTGGGAGTGCGCTTAGCAGTCCTTCGGATTACTGTGAGGCATGGGTACGAACAGTCCTTGAATCAGACCCCATGCTGCTCCGATCATTCAATCGGGCAATGACGAGCGAGTTGCTAAAATTTCCAGATGCCGGCTCTGTCCTGGCGAGATCTATAGGCAACTCACTCGAGGAAGTCAAACTGCCATCAGTCCAAGCAGAGGTTCGTCACATTGCCGCAGCTCTTGGAGTTCTAGAGAGCCAATGGCTGGAGCATGCCTTGCTTCGTCAAGTCCAAGGCAGGACGAGCCTTGATACAGCAGCTGGTCTTGGTGACATCCGCGCTTTGTGTGCTCTGATCTCCGCACTTCTCACGGAAGTTGTCATCATTCAGCCAAAGGCATGCGCCCAGCTAGCACGTGAAGCCCGGCATGCTCAGGCAATGTCTACCTTACCACAGGCACAGCGTGCCATACAGCAGCTGTGTCAGAGATTAGGCATCCATAAACAGGACATGAGCTACCTAAGCCTCGAGTTGCTTAGCAACGGGGGTTTGCGGGTTGGATTTCAGACAGTGTGGGGACATCCCACAGCTCAAAGTGCTGTGGAAGCTATCGGTGCTGGAGCTGTCGTCGAGAAGAAGATGCCGCTGGGTGAGTTGCAGCGGACACTCGGCGAACATGAGCGGTTGCGTTGAATCATTGAAGCATGGCCTGGCTCCAATCGTCCAGGTGGCAGCCTGGGGTGGAAGCTCTGAAGCAGGCATCCGGCAAAGACTAGCAAAGCTCTCCTGATCCGTGAGCTTTTGGGCAGGTGGTCGCGTTCCCAAAGCAGTGTCAGCAAGCATGGGATGCGACACGGCATTGGGCAGCAGTTCTGCGCGATGCTGATTCCTCAGTGTGAGATTTTGCTGTCCTGAATGGCTTGAGATGCTTGAGTCTAAGGCTAAAAGAAGTGTCATGGGAGCGATAAACTCAGCAGCCGCAGCTTCCAGCCTGCTGGATGACATCTTGCCCAGGCTCCGAATCGTTGCATGTCCCTTTTCGATGGAGCGATGACTCCTTATCATATTGCACTGAGGCATGATGTTCAGCATACCAAAGTGTTTGAGCTGGAGCAGATGTATACGGTGGCTGGGTTTGCATAACGGCCCTCATAGAGTTGCAGAGTTGCAGCCCCCTGTGCAGTTATGTATAGGACAACCTTGACCTACAAAAGACTCTGAGCCAAGTGATGCTAAGTTTTCTTGCCAAAGCATGCCTAATTCCCCTAGGTCCTAGGTACTTGGGGAGGCATGTTTCATCAGGCACACCCGAAGCGTTGCGCACAGGTCGTGCCCAAATCATTGTTAACTGGACCTTCAGCAATAGGTGAACCAGAACTCAGGCTGGACCAGCCAAAGACAAGAAGTCGGATTTTCACCAATCGGGAGACCACCTGCCACCCACGTACATGTTCCAGGAAAACAGCACATGAATCACTTGCTCTCTTGGACGCTAGTCAACATGTTTGGCATGTTTGGGCCATTGCGCAACCGCCATCCGGCAGAGCAGTTGTGCTCCGCACTTTGCTTGGCACTCAGCAAGGCCAAAATCAAAGTCGAAGCAGATTTATCGCGAAAGGCGGACCCAGCAGCTTTCGCAACATTCTGCAATGTGAAGTCGCAAACAGGCACTCAGGGGCTCGGAAGAAGAAGAGGAAGCATTAGAAAAGTACCAGCAGCAAATGAAGGAGGCCATGCTGGTCCACTTTTGTTACGTGTTTGGGCTACAGCTGGGCACAACTGGTGATGTAACAGGATAAGCTTCAGTTGAATGATGCTCGTCGCATCCTTGGAGAAGCTGAAAGATTGAGCATGTCTTGCTTGTTTGAGACGAGGCCGAGCCTTTCAGAATCTGCAGGAAAAGCTGAGCTCTACCCAGGTTTATCTAGACAAGGCCGCGCCATCTTGGTGTGGCATGTCTAACCTGAGTGTGTCTACGTGGGAAGGCGATTGTCCACCTGGTAAAGTCGGCCATCCACTGGCAGTCTGCAAGCCTGGAAGTGTGAACCTGAGACACTGGAGCTGAGTTTGGGCTTTCTCTCCTTCTCTACTTGTTGCACGTCTTGGGCCGGGAGTCATGTACACGTCTGCGTGAGGCAGGAAAAGCAGACGCTGCCGCTGCTGCCACGACCGCAGCGTACAAGGACATACATAGCTAAGCTAAATGAGTTTTCTGCTTGACATACGCTCAAATTGGGCAGGATGTTCTCCATGCGTCGTTGCGCCCGCTCAGAAAAGTTTAGAATCGTCTTCCTGACGGCGCCTGGCGATGATCAGCCGCTGTTTCCGAGTTGCAGGAAGAAGTTTGGTTTAGTCTAGTTATTCTAGGGCCGCAAAGTTCTGCCAACGGCAACTTTAGCAGCTAGATGCAGTCAGACTCGTTCCAAATTGGTGCTTCAGGCCCAGGATGGAAAAAGCAGGTTGTGCTTTCTGTTCTGTGCCTCTTCTTTTGCAGAGCCTGCACCCGAGGATTTCACCGTGTGGGACTTTACTACAAGTTTAGCACGTTGTAAATCTTGGGGTTCCTTAACTTCACATATAAAGGAGCTGCATGCTGGATGTTTTGCGGGAAGACTAAAAAGCAAGCAAGTTCAAATCGGAAAGAATCGCCAGCGTTTCCAACTGTTCTACATGCTCTCTGTCATCCTTGAAAATAATGGTTCAAGCATGTCCGTGTGCTGTTGGTGTTGAACCATGACGGACCAGCCCAGTCTTGACGATGTCCTGGACTGGAAGGAACAAGGCAATCTAAAGCTAAAGGATGGCGACAAGGAAGCTGCGATCGAGTGCTACACTCGTGGCATCGAAATCGGCGTCAGGGCCATATCTGACTTTCAAGGATTGGCGGAGGAGTTCGAGCCTCTGAAGAGGGCTGTCAGCCAACTTTGCTCCAACAGGGGGCATGTCTACTTGGCACAAGCACTGCCCAAACTTGCCCTACAAGATTCTCGTCGAGCAGCAGAGATTGATTTCCAAAATGCCAAAGCATACTGGCGTGGAGTATCTGCAGCACTGCAGCTTGATGAGAAAGATGTGGAGCGTCGGGATGCGGCTGAATTGCTGCGCCAGGGCTTGCGTTTGGCCTGGGAAGCAGGAGGCTTAGCACTTTCACAGCTCCTCGGCGACAATCTGCATCTCTGGAAGGAGTGGGCTGATGAAGGCCACGTGCCCTCTATTTATCTTCTTGCCCTGGCTGTACTCAAGGGCAATAATGTAGAGAGGGACAATGCCAAGGCACTAGCCTTGTTTCGGCGAGCCGCTAGTCTTGGCGACAGCCTGTCTAAGGCCATGGTAGAGCACCTTGAGGCAGAGGCCTGCTTGCCTCCGGAGCTTGAGGTTTGGGCAAGGGCTGCTGCAGCAGGAGATGCGGACGCGCAGTTCAATTTGGGTTTAGCATATTATCGCGGGGACAAGGTGCCACAAGATCTAGTGAAATGTGCTGAGTTGTGGACCAAAGCTGCCGCGCAAGGTGATGACATGGCTCGAGCAAATCTTCAGCAGCTACAGTCGTACTTGCATGGCACAGGTGAAAAAAGACCTTGAGTTTTGCCGCTGATGATGTGAGCGTCCAGTGGTGCTGCAGAAAGGAGCTACATCTACGCACTTGTCAATGTGTCTCAGTGGGAGAAAGTTCTGAAGGCTAGGTGCTTCCTTGGAAGTTCTTCTCTTTTGCTCCTTGCAAAGAGCTCAGAGAAGCTGCAGGCCTGCGAGAAGCATGCCGCTTCAGAGGCCGAGACCGGGGGTGGGGGGGTGGGGCAAGGGGGGGGTC